CAAGCCTTTATAATGTCCTTGTAGCTTTGTTGTGGTGGCAGATTCAGGACCTTATTTTAGTCCCACACAGGGCCGTGCCTTCTCCCAGCACCCCATGCCCACAGGTCCATATATGAAACCTTGAAACACTAGGTTTCCAATCAGTAATTTGTTTCTGCAATAGACATAGGACAATGGACCACCCGTCACTGACCAGCCACTCATAGGTTCTCTAGCTATCCTTAAAAACAAGACTAGCGGTTTCTATTTATTATTGCTGCAAAAAAGAGTGGGTGTGGTGTATTCCAGAGCAACCAATCCTCCTCCAGCAGCAGAAATTAAAGAATTCTGATTGGATGCTGTAGAGCAGGGGTGTCAAACTGGCGGCCCTCCGGCTGTTGCAAAACTACAAGTCCCATCATGCCTCTACCTTTGGGAGTCATGCTTGTAACTGTCAATCTTGCAATGCCTCATGGGACTTGTAGCTTGGCAACAGCTGGAGGGCCGCCAGTTTGTCACCTGTGCCGTAGAGTGCTACATCTTTTTACCCTTTGTACTTTAGTATTCAAAGAGACCCTGTCACCAGTGATTTTGTACATAAAAGGACATAAAAAAATGTTCAAAAATGAAAAAAGTTGGCAGCACAGTGGCTAAATGGTTAGCACTTCCACCTGGCAGTACTAGGATTGCTGGTTCAAATCCCAGCCACGGCACCTCCTGGCTGGGATTTGCATGTTCTCCCTGTGCCTGCGTGGGTTTCCTCCCACACTCCATAGACATGCTGGTAGGTGAATTGGATCCTGTCCTAATTGTCCCTAGTATGTGTATGTATGAATGTGAGTTAGGGACCTTAGATTGTACACCCCTTGAGGGTTAGGGACTGATGTGAATGTACAATATATATGTAAAGCGCTGGGTAAATTGACAGCGATATACAAGTACCTGAAAGAAATAATAGTACATTAAAAAAAATCAAAATGGTGGTCATATTCATTGGCAAAAGGTTCACTTTAAGAATATGCTGACATCAGCCTCTTTCTTCTGTAGTCTGCTGGAGATATCTTGTATATGGTTCTGTTCACTGATGTGGCTTGTTTTTTTTTCTTTTTTTTTTTTTGGGTGAATTCCTGTACATCTTATGTTGTGTTTTTTTTTCCCCTCTCCTGTTTTAATGCTGTGAATACAGACTGATCTCAATTTGCACTGCAAAATGATTGATAAAAATTGAAAATACAAACAACTCAACTTGTGAAATGTCTTCTTTCTGCCTTCCTAGATGGCAAAGTAAAAAACAAAAAAAAAAAATAAAAAAAAACCCACTATAATACAATATTACTCATGAACACGCCATGGCAAGTGCTATGCATAGTCATTGTACAGCATTATATAGTGCTGATACTATTTGCTTAGCACAGAGAGCATTGAACAAATCGCAACAGTCCAGGGGCGGACTGACAACTCATGGGGCCCCCGGGCAATAGGGGATCATGGGGCCCCTGTGTCCTTGCCCAAACTCAAAAAAGCCTATGAAAAATCTACCAGGGGCATCTCATGGGGCCCCCTACTGACCCCGGGTCCTCGGGCAGTGCCCGAGTTTCCAAATGGTCAGTCCACCCCTAGTCGTATTGTTCATATATGGAATATCTGCTATGACCTGTTTGGATTAATGTCTGGCCTCTACTGCCCTTTAGAATGGAGACCCCTGGTGTAAACTGGAAAGTTTGAAGAATAGTGCCTTATCATAGGTGTCAGTGGAAGGAATAGTGCCCCATCATTGGTGTCAGTGAGAGGAATAGTGCCTCATCATTGGTGTCAGTGGGAGGAATATGCCCAATCATTGGTGTCAGTGGGAGGAATAGTACCTCATCATTGGTATCAGTGGGCGGAATAGTGCCTCATCATTGGTATCAGTGGGAGGAATAGTGCCCCATCATTGGTGTCAGTGGGAGGAATAGTGCCCCATCATTGGTGTCAGTGGGAGGAATAGTGCCCCATCATTGGTGTCAGTGGAAGGAATAGTTCCCCATCATTGGTGTCAGTGGGAGGAATAGTGCCCCATCATTGGTGTCAGTGGGAGGAATGGTGCCCCATTATTGGTATCAGCCTATAAAAAAGGTACCAGGGGCATCTCATGGGGCCCCCCACTGACCCCGGGCCCTCGAGTTTCCAAATGGTCAGTCCGCCCCTGCAACAGTCACTCCTTCCAAAGGATCTTACTCTGTAAGGCTCCATTTACACTGCAGCTGATAAACTCACGTTTAGGAGGTTTTCTGCATTTTTTTTTTTTCAGCAGCCCCTGAACTCTTCCGAATGTTCTCCTATGTGTCCATGTACACATCGTCATTTACAGGCAGTTGAGTTTAGAGTCGTTTTTTTTTTTTAACACCCAAACTTGCGTTCAGGAGTAGATTTTATCAGCGTTTTAAACGCCAAAAGCTTGTAAACGTGGCTAACCGCGTTTATATGTGTTTGCGTTTGGAAACCTTTTTTAACTCTTCCATTTCCAGATGCTGTCCAGAGCCTTTTTTCATCATTAAAAATGCATGCAAAGCGTTTTCCCCGGTACTCAAATGGACCCGTACACCAAACTTTGAGGTTTCGCATGCAAGAAAATATGTTAGATGCTGCTGCAATAATTTCTGCACAGAAATGAGCCAGAACACATCCAAACACCACAAAAAAAAAAAAAAAATCGCTAATCTCAACCAATATGGCTCTCTCTCTATTTCTCTCAAAATGTTTGAAATATTAAATTTTTTACTGCTTTTCAGTGCATTCTGGGCATTTTGGAAGGTCTCCTGAGGTTATCGTTAAAAACACTCATAGACGTGGTATGCAAACACGGCTACACAGATGTGTTTTTTTAACCAACGGTTTCCAGCAATCAGTTTCCATTGTTCAGAAGTGTCCCGTGTACATGGAGCCTTTAAAAGGAAGACACTGAGGTCCCAGCTAGGCTTGGCTGGGGGGGCTATTCACAAGTCCAGGGATCAAATTGGGTCTGGAGAAGCTCTTTGGAGAGTGCCAGGAGGAAGTTGGTGGCAGAGTCCAGCTGTCCTAGGGTGGTGTGAGTCTACATCTCCCTCACAGAGAAGAGCCTAATGGATGTTGGAAGGAGATCCTGTGGAAGTCACCCCTTCATCATTCCACCTTGTCCAATCAGAAAATGCTTTTTCTATTTTTTGGGGAAAATGGAAAGTGTTCTATGAATGGCACCAAGGCGAGCCCTCACAATGCAGCAGGGCAAATTCTCAGGACGGGACCTGGATGCAAGTGGAGGTCACTAGAGTAGCGATGTCTACTACAGTGATTTATAACTTTCATGGGGTTTCCACTGGTATAACACATACATTGGGGTAGGCACGTGTGACAGGTGGAGATCTACCTTAACAACACCAAACCGATCAAAGATCACCCTGGTTCAGCGCCATTTTTTTTTAAATGAAATTAACTAGCTAAGCCTAACTAAACAGTAAGTGGATAGTGCAGTCAGTAGAGCATTGGACAATGTCAGTAGGGCAGTGGACAATGGTAGGGCAGTACGGGGTAGTAGTGGATGGAGTCCATAGAGCAGTGCACAGCGTCAGTAAGTAGAGCAGGGAACAGTGTCATTAGTTTTTGTTTTGTTTTTTTTTATTTTTACAATTGTATTTTTTAAATTACTTTTTCAATTTTTATTAGAAGCTCTGTTGGGGGGTTTTGGTGAAATATCGGTTGTGTAAACAAAACCCTGATGTCTTGCTTTTGAGACACAGAAAGGAGATTGAAAACAGTCCTTAATCTCTATATCTGAAGCCTCAGTTGCACAGAGTGAATGAACAGGAAGAGCTCTCTGCACAGTCTCCCTGTCCATTCATAAACCGAAGCATAGTAAATGCAGTTTACTATGGTTCAGTTAGGAATGAAAGCAGTGAGTATTCGAAACTGATCACTCATTGTATTCATTCAAAAAAAAAAAAAAGGAAAGGGACCAGTAAATTACATATTTACTAGCATCTTCCCGACTCGCCATCCAGAAAGATCCCTGCAGTAGCCGGCAGGAGAGAAGGAAGCTGCAGCACTGCGAGGGATGGAGGGACGAGGGGGCTCCAGGCAGTAGAAGGATGAGGAACCTGGGCAGTGGCGGTAGCATTTACTAGAACAGGTCCCCTGTATTTTCTGCCTGCAGCAGCAGAATGCCGGCAGGTGGGAGAGGAGGAGAAGTCAGCTTTCAGCTGCTGCAGGAGGAAAATACAGGGGATCAATTCTAGTAAATGCTCTCCCTGCAGTCCCTCCAGGCCAGGTTCTGGGGGTCGCCATGGAAGGGACATGATCACCTGCTCATGATCGTTGGGTTGCCAAGCCCCGACATGCATACTGTACTACCAAGCTGGACCAATGTAACGAAGTATAAAATATCCATAGCGTCCCTAGGGTTGGTGTCACCCAGTGCGATAACAATTGGTGACACTCCCTCTGACGATCCCCGCAGGATGGTTCGGATCTGCGGATTGAGCATAATGGATTGGACTCCGATCCATTATGCTCCCCAATCCGCAGATCTGATCCATCCTGCAGGGATCATCGCCATCCAACCTATACGGGGTGACACCGGATCCGCTCCACAAAAAGGTAAGTTGTAAAGAAAGCCGATGATCCCCGCAGGATGAATCAGATCTATCCTGCGGGGATCGTCGGCTTGCTTTACAACTTACCTTTTTGTGGAGCGGGTCCGGTGTCACCCCGTGCGTATGGTGCGCACCCTCTGCTCCTGCCTTGGGATGCCACTGGCTGAAACTCATCTTTAACATTTTAATTTTCCACATTTATAGACAAGTTTGGTACCATGAAATAGACATCACAACACGTAAATAACCCAGGTTGATTTATTTAAAAAAGGTCAAGAAAACATGAACACAGTGGAAAAACAAAATTCTCCCATCATAAAGCACACAATCTGCAGGTTAGCTGTGAAATTAAATACATTACTGACACATCCATAATATGAACATTGAATCTATCTATAAATGTAGAGGAGAGGT